CGTGTGTGTGCTTCTTATCGTGACATCTTAGTAATTACTCAAATGTATGAGAATAAAACTACTATTCCAATAGTAGACATAATAAGTTATTCAAAAAATGACAAAACTATGATTAAAAAAACAAATGTACCAATAATGTTTCACGTGTGTTGTTGTAATTTGCTACATGGTAGATTTTTTCTAATAAGTTATAGCAACACGTATGATGGTTTTTTTGTGAAGGCAACATTACTACTTTCAATGTGGAATGTCAGTAGTCAATACAGACATCCACGGGCAGTAATCTTCATTGAGAAATTATTGGACATGGGAAATTACTGACTTGACATTGGCAGAATTCTAAAAAGAGGGGCCATAAAACTAAGAAAGAAGAAGAAAAGACATAGGAAATGTCATAGCAAAATGATATATGACAGCTAACACACCCCCTCGCCTCTCGACATCCCTTATAAGCATGGAGTATAGAGTAGTCTACTCTATACTCCATGCTTCTAGGCTCAAATGCAAGCTGTCGCAGCCATATTGTTTTATTTGTTTTGTCATTATCACTGATTTCATGTGTTACTAAATGATATTACTGATTTACTGATAAATTTTCGTTTGATTGCGTTGATTTATTTCCGCCCTATCTTTGCATTTTTCTTTGCATTTACTTTGTTTATGCCCAAATTTGGCCATATTGAACGCCCTCCAATTGCGTTCGAGCTGTAGCGTCACCCGATAGTATGTTGGTGAAAAAACGCCGCCAGGTGGGGCGGCGGTGTGCGGCAGTCAGTTGCTCGACGCGTGGGCGAGGGGTCGGTGCCCCGCCGGCCACGATGCGGGGAGACCGTCAAGCCCTCTTACCTAAATTCACAGGCCCGTCGTGGATCTAGATAGCTAGAAGAAGTACGTGCTTCTTCGTCACGTAGATAGGTGAATTGTGCGATATTTAACTCGTGCGAGAGTGCGGAATAGTGTACGTGCGTCGAGGAGATATACGATCTAGGATTAGAGCCGCGCATTCCTTGTTTGAGAGCTTCTCCCGGTTAATTGGCAGGATATCGTTATAATTGGGTCGTTGCGTTAGTGCCCTTTTGTGTTTTGGTTGCCTAGTTAGGTTAATTTGCGGGTCAACGAGGCGTATTTTGACTCTGGCGCGACGTGTTATTCTGGTGCCGAATTTATAATTTGTGATAAGTGAATCCGGGACATTCAATGTCGAATTTTGAACTACTGTCCGTTGCCGTGTCGGGTATCACGTGTTCAACTCTGCGATGAGTGTGGAATTAGGCGAATTGAAGTTAGTTAAATGTACAATGAAGCTAAGAGACTGAGTAGTGACAGTGAAGAAAGAAGTGGTCCGGCGCTGAGCAGTCTGGAGCGATGCAGCATTTTGGAGCAGCCTGGAACTCGGCCGCTGTTGATCGCCTATGCTTGCCAAAGCCCCACACATTCACACATCACTGTACACGACTCGTTATCTACCATTACACACAATCACGGCCTGCCCAAGCCTTGGAGCGAAGTTAGCTCCTGATACAGATAAGTACCTTTGCTTTCTAGTTTGCTCCCATATAGTTTATTGTGATAGGAAATTCCACGCGGCCATATTGAGGCCCGACCTGCGTCTGCTCGTGAAGTCTTCTGCTGAATGGGCCCCGGAGGAGTTGATTCTTGTAGGGGCAGCCGTAGGCCGTAACGTACTTGTATCAACCGAGTGATTTATACTATAGTGAAGGATCAACATCTACAGGACATATACAGGACTTATTCCACTAACAGTAGTCTCAGATCAAGGGGCTACATTCCTATCTGCTCTTATACTAATGCAAGATGAAACTAGAGCAGTTGAAATACGAGAAAATAAAAACACAGGTACAATTAATCAAAATTTTACCGTTATATTTACTTTTAATAGAATTGCCTTATTATTAATATGTTTTATATTTTTAGATGACCTGATAATATATAAGTGGTATTTATATGCTTGTCATATTTGATCCACCACATTTAATCAAACGAATGCGAAACAATTTTTTTAACAAAAAATATACAATACCAAGAAAATATTTCTACGTGGACAGATAAGAAAGACTATGAACATACAGAAACACGGTTATTACCCAAACTTAACGTCGAACTTGTTATTTCTGAAAAAAATTAACGTACAAAATAATTGTAATTTTATTTCTATTACATGTAATTTAATTTTTGTATTTGTTATACACGTTTTCTTAATCAAATTCTTACGGATTATTTGCAGGTTAAGAATTATGTTTGTGTATTTAGTAAAACCGTGGTAGGACCCTCAAATTATATCGCTGAATTTTGTAAGTTATCATATGAATTATTTTATTAAAAATGTTATACATAGCACCATAAAACTAAAGTGTTTTACATGGCTAGTGGTGAGAACCAGATACCCTTTTGGTACTGGTTCAAGTAACAAGGCATTCTTTTGTCTTCAAGGGTGACAATGCATTTGCATTTTGATACTTTTACAACTGAGGATTAATGTAGGTGTCTGTGAGCCACAGCACAGTAGAACAGTAACTTAAAAATACTGTACAGAGTATGTAATGATATGTCATTTAATAATACTTCAAATATTTATTACAGCTCCATTATTTGGATGTGCGGCCAGTGAGCAAAACAGAAAAATACTTCTGAAATAGTATCTTTTATAGAGGACCTATTTGACAGTGTGAATGGAAGTGCGGTGATAAATAAAAAAGAAGAGGGAAAGATTTTAGAATTTTGGCATTCTGGTAGCAAGCTTTGTTGAAACAACAAAATATAAAATGTAATAATGAAAATGGTCATGAATATACATTGTCCAGTATAAATAACTGAATAAGTAACATAAAAAGATTTAAGAAACTGTGGCAGTTTTTTTCCAAGAAAAACATAAAAATTATGAGACTCGAAAACTTTTTCATTCAAATAAGATCATACAATTTCAGGGATCATACCCTGACTTGCCACAATTTCATAATAACGCTTTTAAATCTGTATTAATTACAGGATTCAGTAAGATTTACCGCTCATCTTTTAATTGTGAAGATGATGTTAGCGCACAATTATTAAAAATAAAGAGCTTGTTTAAAGGACATGAAAAGGAAGTGAGTAACGAAAGTGGTGAAACTGGTGAATCTTATATTGATTTTCCATTAATTCTAGAAGCAAGCTGCTGGCGTCTAAAATTACAGTCCCGTGCTAACACTGCAGATTGGATCATAAGAAAACTTGTATCAAACATGAAATGACACGTGCAGGAAGGACCTCACCACAAAAGAAAATACCTGGGTTTATAAGTGGATAACACATAGAGAGTATAAAAATATAGCAAGAAAAGGTTGACATATTCAGCAGCATAATTTTTTTTCTTTATTTGCGATTGTTAGATAATTTGGTAACGTTTTTTTTTCAAAAACTAATAATTATCTAGAAAAACACCCCCATTTTAAAATATTGGTCGTAAAATAAAGAACGCAATATTAAATAAATATCGCTTTAAGCATATTACATGCCGAAAGCATAGGACTGAAGTAATAGACGTTTATCAATAATAATAAAACTAGGAATAAATAAATATTTTTCTACTTATGTTTTGCAAAATAAATATCTATCTTTATTACTGGTGCACTATTATCAATAAAATTTTAAAAGGTGTAGATATTGTTCACTTAGAAAGAAGGCAGCTATCAGAAATGCAAGGTAAAGCTATGTTAAAATATAAGAAAAAATCTGAAAAATAAAGTGAATAAATAAATTTCAACATTGTTTCATTTGCATTTACATCGTTTTATTTTCAATATTTTAAAATAATATTTCCATGTAATTAATATATGAACCTTATTTAGGACGTTCTTTGCCTGGTATAGTTACTTCAAATAAAAAGTATTATAAGTTTAGTTCGTGAGATGTCCGTCTGATTCGGTTAGAATCTACTAGTTAGTCTGTGCAGAGTGCAGACATCTTCGTTTTTGGAAAAGGCAGTACTCGTGTGTGTGTTATTTTTCGTAATTGAATTTTAGTGATTTTTCGGAAGAAATTTTGCATGGTAAGTAATAACATTTTATTTGTGAAGGTTAATGCCAATTAAGAGGGATGTGTAAATTATTAAATAATGTAATATTTCACTGCTTTGCATTGCATTTAATTTTGCTACACGACTGTTAGGTCATGGTATTCACGCGTGTTTGCTCACGTGTATTGCGTGTGTTACGAATTTGTGTGACGTCACACGTGAAAAGTGTAAAGCTTAGTGCATATTGCAATATTTACATCATCAATAGTCTGAGATGTACGTTGCTGGATAAAGTACACTGTTTTCATATGTGGTAGAGCCATGCTATAGCTATATTAATAGTATAGTTGTAGTACGAATGGGTCGACTCGAACGGGAAAGTACCACGCTCTCACAGAATACCGGCGTAAAAAAGCGGTACGACTTTCCATTGACTCCCATCGAGTTTGGTGTTGATGCGTATTTTTACAGAAAGGTTACATTTTTATAAGCACACACACAATGTTTAAATATGCGGAAACGCGTACTTTTTGAGAAATAAATTAATAAAAATCACTTATGTTAACAATATGTTGTTTTTTTAATTGGCTTTACGGCTCTGGGTTCTAGCCCTTTTGAGCCTATTTTATTACGAATTTCCATTGACATTCGCCGAATTGAGGGGGAGGGGGGGGAAGAGAAGGTGTAGGGGGACTAATTCAGAGGGATATCTGTATCTATTTTGAGACTGCAACGTCTCCGGCGCTGCGGGAAGAGTAGCCTCTACACCTTTGCGTAAGAAATCGCAGGCATCCCTCCTCGTCCGATACCTACGATTTGTTACAGCAGGCGGAGGCTGCTCTCCCTACGCGCCTCCGGTTTTATATAATCACTCTAGGGGTAGGACAGACTCGTACCACGTGGAGTCGGGGTCAATAAATTTGATTATTTGACATAAGTATAATAGGTACTGTTAAAATAAAGCAAATCAAATATAATTAATAAATTATTAATCAATTTTATAAACATATTGAATAGCCTTAATTAACTCTTCGAAGACATCTTTTTGTGTTATTTTTATTTTTCTTCGCCAAGAATATTCAATGATCCAGTCTGTAAAGTTTGCTTTGTAACCATCCCTACTGAACATCACTTTTAAATTTCGCCAGTGACTTTCTATTTTTTGTGTGTGTGTCTCGTCTGGTGCCACAAATTTATTTATAGGGTCGCTGTGATTTACTTTCTTATGTATGTATCCATATTGAGGTAGGCAATCATAGGCTCTCTAAAAATCAGTATGGATTTCAGTGCCTACCTCCACATGCTTTTGTATTAGTGGCACCAATATTTTTGCAGATCTATCATTATCGGGACACACTTCTAATCTCAAATTATCTTTCCCATTTTCTACCATGCCCAGTGTAATGTAAGATCACTCATCTCCTTAATTTTATTAAATAATCAAAGATTTTTCTACGTGGTAGAGCCATGCTTCAGCTATATTTACAGTATCGCAGCTATATGTAGCAGGAATGGGTCGGCTCGACCGGGGAAGGACCACGCTCTTACAGAATACCAGTGTAAAATAGCAGCTTAATGCTGCTATGTTTCGTATGGTGAGTGTAGAAAACCGGAGACCCATTTTACTGGAAAAGCGGCATTCTATCTTAGTCCTCACGGCTAACAACGCATCTGCATTTGAATTCGCAAACGAAGAGAGATGTAGATGTCTATGGGCCACAACAACCACTTACCATTAGGTGGACTCTGTGGCCTTCAATATGTCTCCCTTTATTGTACTTTCTTTTGCCAAATTTTGATTCATCTAATTGCACTATTTTGCCTGGACCACCTATCTTGCTGTTAACTTCTTGGTGCTCTAATTCATAAATAATTACTGTCTCCCGACAGTAAGAAAACCAGTCAGTTATTGTCCTTGTTGATAAAACTGTTTCTATATCTTCACGGGCTGTCTCTAATTTTACTTGATGATAACTATATTTTTGGCTGAACATATACATCAACAAAAATTGCAACTCGATTGACAACCGCGCATCCTCAAACCATGTACCCGTTGCCCGACTCCTTAGAGCGGCAGTGACTCTTCCTGCATCGGAAGATGCCAAGCTGACCAGTCCTACTGCTGGAGGTTAATATCATAGATTTCCTATGATATGAGCACATTTTACTGTAGGAAGGAGCCTATGCTCTTCAGCAAATGCAATACACTGAGCTGGGGTGTTGAGCCGGGTAATGATTTTAAACATATTCTAATGGCACCTAAAACAAACAAAAAAGTTCCTATTAGAAATCTGATTACTGGTTTCAGGAACGGTAGCGCGGGAACTACCAGCTACTGGTTCCGATGACACAGTCATGGGCACAAGTGGCTCACTAGAGTGTAACACTTGCACACACGAAGAGCCTACAAAAGAGCTCGCGAAAAGTGGCTCATTAGAGTCTAACACTTTCACTACACTCGATTTTTCAGACGACACAGCAGAACATGAAACCTGGGGCTTCGGAGACGCCATGGTAATAGTTAAATGTTGTATTCACCGACAAAAGTACGTAAACGCTCTCAACTGCTAGGGACGCCAACAATGAGTGACGATTAGGGATGTAGATCTGAGATAGATTTTTCAGACCCGAAATATAATTTTTTTTAAATCGGTATGCAGTACAAAATCGATCCAATGAATCGATATTTCATCCTTGAAAATCGCCATTAAAACTGATTTTACTGATAAGAGATCATTTATTGTATTATCTTTCTTTTTTCCATGAGAAATCATTTATTATGGTATCTTAGGAATGTAACATAAACATTGCAAAAATAATTAATTTTCAAATAATGTTTTTTCTCAAAAAGTACGCGTTTCCGCATATTGAAACGTTATATGTGTGCTTATAATAGTGTAACTTTTCTGTAAAAATACGTATCAACCCCCAACTAGATGGGAGTCAATGGAATGCTAAGCCATTACGTCTTAGTCTTCAAGGATGACAACGCATCTGCATTTTTATTCGCAAACGAGTTTAGATGTAGGTTTCTATGAGCCACAGCAACCACTTACCATCAGGTGGACTGTGTGCTTGCTTGTCACCCTTATCCTATAAAAAAGACCTCCCCAAGTTCTTCCCCAAAACATGCGATCCTGAGCCAGCTGCATGCAACGCTTATCCGCAACTTTTATATGGTAAAGCTGACCCCCACTATGCGTTACATAGCATGTTTTATCTAGCATTATTTTTTGCAGATGCCACTAACACCTGCTGAAAAACAGAAACCCTACCGAGAAAAGTTGAAAGAAACAAATTCAGAAAAGTTATTAACACAGAAGAGAAAAAACGCTGAGAGAAGAAAACAAAATAGAAAGAAAATAGCAGAATATTCTTCGTCTGTGCAGGAAAATATTAGAAAGCAATGGAGAGAGAGAAAGAAGAAAGACAAACAAGAATCGAAAGCTGAAGAAATGTGCAGATTTTGAAACAGCAGAGGGATCAATATAGAAGAGGGATTTATAAACAGAAGACTGAAAACACAAAATTCCGATGAAGAATATCACATTTCTGATGACGATGATTACTTTGATTACACATATTTTCAAATGAAAGAGCAGAACAATATATCAGATTTTAGAAAAAAAAAATTACACTTGGAAGAAAGTGGCAGAAATAAGTCTTGTATCTAATGAAAATGAGGAAGTAATAAAAACAAAGGTTGAATCGATGTTGGCTACAGCTCAGCAGAATGATTTAAAAGACTTTGACAGTTTAGTAAACGATTCGGAAGTGACATCGGAAACTCAATCAGATATATGGAGGCTATGTTTCAATGACACAGTACTAATAAGGTACTACCAAAGAGGCTCATGGAAATACTACATCGGTTTTATAGAATATATTTGTGTTGAAGAAGGGAAAAGTTATTTTACCGCACGGTTTTTGAAAACCGTAAAAAACCAGATAATAAAAAATCAAGACACAATCACTGAGGATTTCATTGAAAAACAGATTAAGATTACACAAAACATTGAACGGTCAAAATAATACTTTTTAGCTGCTAATAGCGACTAGGTTTATTTGAGTAGGATATAATGTGCTCGAAAATTATATTTTATTTGATTGTATTATTATTTTTTAAGTATTTTCAAGTACAAATTTTGATCTCATTATTTGAATAATTAGTAATTAAGAAACAATAAATTATGATACAGCTTTTTTTGTGAAGTTTTTGAATTTAAATAAATGGATTGGTCTATAAAGTATTTTATTTGAAATTCCATTATAATAAATAGTCTCGTGTTTTTTTTTTATAGGATAGGGACAAACGAACACAGTCCACCTGATGGTAAGTGGTTGTTGTGACCCATAGAGATCTACACCTATCCTCAATAAAGAATCATAATACCGATGCATTGTCACCCGTGAGGACCAAGATTGAATGCCTCTTTTCCAGTAAAAAGGGTATTCGGTTCTCTACACACTTTTTGATCATGGGGTAAAAGTACTGAGAGCAACTTACCTGGAAATCGCTAGTGCTTACAGTTAAGGTTGGGTAAAAAATCGATATTATAAATCGCGATATATCGACATTTATTTTAGAGTATCGAATTCGTATCAATTTCGATATATTTTAAAATGTTTTGTCGTTTTTTGCGTCGTCCAACCGTCAGTAAATAAAGGTTTTTCGATATTTATCTCGCGATATATATCGATACAGTCTAAAAATATCGATTCGATATATATCGATATATTTTTTCCCTTACCCATCCCTACTCACAGTACAAAAATGGCGGCGATATATGACGTCACATATCCCCCCCCCCACCCCAGCCTAAGAATTTGGAGTATATATACAACAAGAAAATGCTGGCAGACGTACACCATAGATAAATATAGACGTACACAAACTAGTAAGAAGTGCTAGCAGACGTATTTTAAATAGCACATCTCAAAAATATTAATTATTTAACCTGCACCCATATAGTTTAGAAATAAAAAATAGTTAAGTTCGTTCACCTTATAACGTCGATATTACTTCAAATAATTAGAATTGGGTACATTTTCCAGTATAAAAAAACTGCACCTTGCTTGGGTATATTGAACTATATTTTAATTAAACTGTATCATATTTTAATACAATATTAAATTATTTGGTCACCATTACTCGATTTATATACAAGAGTCTGATGAATGACACCTACAACTACGGCGTTTTCTTCTGTGGTAAAAGTATGCAATCAATATTAAACACTGTCGCCTGCATGAAGTTATATATAAGTATTATAGATAAAGATAATAAAAGATATATAGATCTTTATCTATAACTTCATGGTCGCCTGTCCATTTGGTACCCGTGTATCCTGCGTGAATTATGTTTACAAACCGACGATAAGACGTCTTGCATAAATGTGTACGATAATTCAGACGAGACATTTTTCTTGTCTGGTGTCCGTGTCTTATAATATGCAAAAGGCCTAACAATTAAAACAAATAAACTAATAATTTCATACACACATAGACAGCAATAACTCGGATATAGACTCAGGTCAGTCGCTCGACCGATCTGTATATTGTATGAGAGCAAGCGGTCTGTGTTAGTAAAGTAATTTTTTAGTTTAAAAAGAAGTAAAAAGCAATAATATAATTAAAAATTACTTATATATGAAAGGTAACGCCATTTTTTTGTAAATTTGACGTAATATATCTCTTTCTGCAGCAAAGAACTGAACAAGTCGGCATTTTTGGAGGACGTCGATTCAGCCACAGATAGATGCTATTTAAAAGTGAACAGTGCCGGTACAACTAGCTTTATTGTAAGCCTATGTCCGCGTGGACTTAAACTTTGGGGAACGCCTGCGTATGGCTACTACCCACCAGTCCTCCGCACTATGGGAAAGCCCAATACAAAGCCTTCTCATAACCGTTGTTAACGAAATTCGTTGTTACGTCATGAAAATTATAAATTAATATACTATTATTGATAAAATTTCTTTTTAGGTATTTTTATTTTATTTTGTATTTTTAACATAAGTATAAAAGAGCATCAAATCTTAATCATGTTCGATAAGATGATTTTGACTTAATACGTTATTACTATTCAATGCCACATTACATGAAAGTTTTCCAAATAAGTATATAAGTATTATACATTTTTGGAATGCTTATATGCTTCTCCAAATTTTTCGTAAATTATATTATATTTCTATGCAGGAAGTCGATGGATGCAGGTGGCTCAGGACCGTGCTTTGTGTTATTCTTTGGGGGAGGCCTATGTTCAGCAGTGGACTTGTGAAGGGCTGTAATGATGATGATGATGATGATATTATATTAGAGATTTACCTCTTACCGATGCTTGCTGATGTCGAGGTATTTATTCCATTAAGATCTTCACACATTTAGGTATAAAAAATGTGCTCTCACATGGTCCTTTTTTGATACGGATCCAAAATACAACTCGAGATAAAAATCGTACGGCCACGGCGGGTTTAGAACAAAAGAAAAATGTGTCCCAAGTCAACCTATATAACCATAGGTACATGTATAGAAATATTAAAAAAAAACTATAATATCCCAATTCATACCAATTGTCATTAGAAAACTGCTTAACTTTACTTGGGAGAATTTATCAGCCTATTAACTTCGACTAGAGGCCCCACAATTTTCACCGAATTATGTTTCTATCGAAAATTATCTGTATGGTTATTTGTTTTTACAATTAATATGAATTTAAATTAAATACAATGTATCTAAGCAAAATATTACTTTAAAATGATTAAATACTAATAATCTCTTTTTTCACTTTACTCAAGTAGTTTTTGTACGTTTTCATAATACAGTACGATATTTTGAACTTGAATTTTGTCAATCCATAAAACGACTGGCGCGCGATTTGAACTCTTTCTGCATTGTGGAACTCTTTTGGCTCAGACACTTTTGTGTGCGGACCCGAGGTCCATTTAGTAGTATGTTAATGCTCTCAGTGTATTATTGTTTATTAATAATTTTT